TTACACATACACAAATATATGCTTAAATCTATTTACTTAAAAAACAAAAATGCTGCCGTTGACTTGCTCCTAACTCCCGGTGACCCTATGTGTGTCAGAGTTGAACTATGCCCCTTAGAGTTTCCAGTGGCTGATTTTCAGAATTAGATGGTCATATATTTCTTCCAAGATGCCTCTAAGTGGACTTAAAGTTCCAACCTTTCAGTTAGCAGCCAGATATGTTAACAATTTTTACCACCCAGGGATAACATATATGTATACTTGTTGTTATTATTGTGCTTAAATCTAGCTACATACTTAAATCTATGTATGTATATACATACCTGCATACACATACACACACATATGTGCTATTTTGAGTTAATTTCTTTGTAGAGAATTTGGGGCTGATAAAACTACCTTAGTACAAAATGCTAGTGGGGCATTCAAAATAAACAAAGGTGTTTTTAGGGTCTCTACTAATTGAAAAAGAGAATGAAAAGTAGGAAAAGAGACAATGAATAGTGTGCAATTTTTGGTTAGTGTTACTAAACCTTATAGACAAAGCCATTTGAACTAACTTAGAGGGCCCTCTCCATAGCATGAAATTTGTCCCATCGAAACTAACCACAAAGCAAATTAAACCCAAACATCCAACTGCCCTCCTGATGTCACTGGATTCCACACTACCCTGTGATTACAGTGCACATTCTCCTCTGTTGCTAGGTACCCTGGGCATTCTTATTTTCCAAAGCTTCAGGTGCTGTTTTTCCTTGGGACTCAAAAATACAGAGTCTTTGGTTTATATGCTATGGTACCCAGGCTGAAACCTTGAGAGAAGCACCATCGTTCTGGGCCTGAAGGCCGCCCTCATAGACATAGACATTTCACTTGGTGTAGCCCAGTAACCACACTCCAGCAGCCACTCGGGATGGAGCTAACTATATTGGGTAAGGAAGCAGGTTTCCATTAAAAAATGACAAACTGATAGGAATCGGGTATAATAATCAGGAGCCTGAGATTTGTGATTTTCAATTTTGAAAACGTATCTTTAAGGAAGCGAGAATAAAAACTGTTTGCATGGTTACACAAAACAAGACAATATGCAATTGTTAATTTATCCTCAGTTTAATGTCTGTTCCTTGCTTATGTTGTCTATTTATAATATAGACATTGAAAACTTTGTTTTAAATTTTGATATGTAAAATAACGGCATTTGTGACATTATTGGTTCTTTTTCCACGTGAACTATAAAATATGTAAATATATATTTGATACAATTGAGTAAATTATTCATTTGTTCTTCATAAAATGTACTGATTTACTCAGGAATGAAATATGTAAAGCTGTTGAGTTTGGTTACCTTGGTAACATCTGGAGTGAAGTACTCAGTCTAAAAATAATTTCTCCTTTATTGTTTATATTTTATGTCAAAATTATAAACACATGCTTTTCATTAAAGACTACCCTGATAATTGATAATGTCTACTTTAGGGCATGAATGGTACATGGTTTTCTAGCTATGTAGATAATTTCAGATTGAAGAAACAGCACAGCATTTTTTATTTTTAATTAATAGAAATTGGATTTATATTATACTTTGTTTTAAAATGTAGTATATGTTTAGGGTTATTTACACTTTCAACATATTAATAAAGCTTACTTTACCTGAAATGTTTAGTAAATTTTTAATAAATCTTACTTTACATGAAACCAAATGTTTAGTAAATTTGTATTTTAAAGGATTCTAATACACAAGTGTCTAATCACATTGTGTGTGTGAATTAAATAATTGGACTTCAATATGTCTATTATCTTTGCCTTTGAACTTTCTTAGAAAGATGTAATTTAAATAACCAGATATGATCTTGCATACTTTAGCATAAGATTTGAATTAACATGAAAGCATATGCACAATTCTCTAAATTATTTATATACAAACATTGTCCTACTTACACATTTCAAAATCCCTAGACATTTAATTGTTAAAAGAATGTCTTTGATTTGTCAAAATAGTAGCTATGAAGAGTGATATGGTATACTATTTGTAGCCAGTTTCCTAAAATCTGTGTCTGTTTCCTTTCCACACAGAGGCTTCTCTTGAACAGGCACATATCAAGAGTCGTTTACTAATGCAATTTGGCCTTGTGAATGCATTTTAATGTTTTTACAGAAGAGTGTTTTAGGAAATTGTTTGAAAATACTATTCTACTGAAAATTAAACACAATGTACATTGTTTCATTTGTTACCAAAAAGAGAGAACTGGGCTTCAACCTGGACCCTTGCCTGTTCTTTGTCACAGTTTTCTAAAGAAACACTAGTAAGAGAAAGAGACAGAGACTGACTTATTTTAAGGAGTTGGCTCATATGATTGTGGAGCTGGCAAATCCAAAATCTATAGGTCAGGCAACAGGGTGGGGATTCCTGCAGGCTGTGTCCCCGAATATATAAGTCAGGTACCTGAAAGAGTAGAGTGGAGATGTTTAGGCAAGATGTCTGCCTATTGCTGTCAAGATGATTCTGACTCGGATGTTTGTTTATAATCTGGAGACAGTATACGCCCAAGGGAAAACTCCCTTTTTGCACTTAAGATCTTCACCTGGTTAGATGAGGCCGACTCACATTATGGAGGGTAACCTGATTTACTTACGGCCAACTGGTCATGTGTACTACCTCATAATAGAATCCACTAGCATTTAATCAAACTGCTGGGCATTCTTCCCTAGCCAAGATGACACACAAAATTAGCCATCACATACCTATTCTATTCCCTTACTACATTCCAATAGTTCCTTCCTTTCCTTGTCTACACCGTTGCTTTTGTTTGAGTTTGCATCATTGCTGGATTACTTGACTTCTAGATCTCTTAACTGGTCTCCCCAGCTTCCATCTTGTTCCCTTTTCAACCCATTCTTCACTGGAGTCCAAGCTATCCCTTCACACCATCACAAGTTAAAATTCCTCCTATTTGCTCTAGAAGCTAGCATACAAATGACATAGGTGACACTCCTGAACCTATCCTCTTCTCTCTGCTTACCTGTGTTGTCTTCACTCTCTCTCTTGCCCTCAACATTCTAGTCATTTGTCATTAAAGCCCTCATCTCACTTGTCCTGGATGTTCCTTGGTCTGTGACTTTGTACACGCTAGGCTCTGTTAGGAATCCTCTCCCCCACCTTCTTGCCCTAGTTAAGGCTTACTCATCTTTTAGCTTTTCGGGACATCTCTATCCCATGTGCAGGATCACAGTCTTTTCACTCTGCATTTTAATTGAATGTTTATTTTTCTGTCTCTAAATTAACTAGGAACTCATTGAAGGCAGAGTCTCTGTAGGCCACATTGTTAACCCTCTTGACTCCAGAGTAGACAATAACTGTTTATTGATTTATAAATATTTGTTGCTGTTGTTGTTATGTGCCATGGAGTCGGACCTGACTCATAGTGACCCCGGCTTGGGTTGCCAAGACAGTATCACTACAGAAGTAGATCGCCCAAACTACCTTCAGAATTTAAATATTGTTTCCATGAATTTAATTAATTAGAAGGCATTAAACATTTCATTGCACCCCACAAAAATAAAGCATACTTGAGACTATTTAGAAATCAACAATAAATCATAAGTATTGAATTTAATTACTCCTGCCCACTCACGTTCATATGGCTTCAATAAACTAAAGGAAACAATTTAAGACTTTTCTCCATCATAATTCTTTGGAATTAATAGAAAAACCCTTATCATATAAATAAAAATGAAATTAATAAATTAAAAAAAATTATAAATTTGTTTTACACATGTGTTCTTTCTTGCTCTCCATAAGTTATCATTGATATACTTTTTTCTAAACAAGCTTATTATTTATCTTAAAGTAAAAAAATTTTGTTTAATTCTGCTTCCCCTTCATTCCTATTTTGTTTCTTTTTCTGTCATGACTTTATATTTTGTTATTAGAAATAAGTTACTCATTGCCATTGAGTCACATCCGTCTCATAGCGACCCCTCCTTGCGTTTCCAAGGCAGTATCACTACGGAAGTAGATTGTCCAACCTTCCTTTCAAGGAGTGGCTAGTGGGTTTGAACCACCAGCCTTCTGGTTAACAGTTAAGTGCCTTAGGGACTGCACCACTAGAGCTCCCATAATCTGTGTTAGTTGTAAAGAATATTTAAAATTCCATCACCACATTAACATTCCATCACCACTATTAACATTTTTGGACTTTATCTTTTCAGGCTTTTTCCTCTGTGCCTATATGTTTTCTTTTTACAAAGTTGAGGTCATATTGGGCACACTGTTTTGTAGCTAGTTTTTTCCATGAAATGTTTCCTGAGTCATGTTTCTCCATGTCTTTAGAATGGGGCATTGAATGACCACATGATATCCTAACCATTCTAATGTTTTATTAAGCCAATGCTCTGTTTTTGGTAATTTATATCATTTCCAATTTTTCACTGTTTGAAACAACACTGAAATAAATGTCTTTTTAACCTGCACAGAGATACCCTTAAAGATTACCCCCTTACACTTAAAGGTTCCGAAAGTAGAGTAACGAGAGCAAAGCTTAGGAGCACCTTTAATGTTTAGATGCACATTACTTGATCACTCTCCATAAACCTTGTGGCAATATACAGCCCCAATAGCAGGATAGGTGAATACTCCTTTTAGAGCATTTTCACCAAATCTGGATATTCTTAATGGAAAAACAAAAACTATTTGCAAAATAGTTGATACTTGTCTTTTTCTCTGTTGTTTAAATCTATTTTTCTTTGTGATTGCATTTGTGATTGAACAGTTTCTTGTTTTACCTTTTTATCTTATTTCACATTTTCTTTTGCCTAAATTGGCCAATGAGATTTCAATTAAAAATGACTGCTTCCCACATTTATCAGAGGTTCAATTACATAATATAAGTAAGATTACATAGCACAATGTCAAGCCCTTACTAGTAGCTCAAGATATGCTAGTTGAAGTGAAAACTGAAGAGCATAATATTTAAAATTAAAATATGCAATTTTCTTTCCAACAGATGATTCTGCTGCTGAGAGCTTTAATGGCAATGAGACTCTGGGGCATGGTTCTATTGCTTCAGGGGGAGCACACGGCAGGGAGATGGGAGACACCAACAGCGAAGGCAAAACCGGGCTGGAGCAGGACGAGCAGCCACTGAACCTGAGTGACAGTCCCCTCTCAGCACAGCTGACATCAGAATACAGAATAGATGATCACAGCAGTAATGGAAAAAACAAATACAAGAACCTTCTAGTTTCTGACCTCAAGATGGAACGAGAGGCGAGAGAAAATGGAAGCAAGGTGAGGTCATGTCACAATTTCCAGAGAGTTTTTGAGTTGGACATGAAGGTTACAAAGAAATACCTATTTATATAAGAGAGAAAGATTATTATCAATAAAAATATTTTAAACAAATCCCAATAATGCACTACTAAGAGACTTACAATCATGGCTACTGTGTTTCAATATAATAGAATAAATCTGGGTTGACAGTGAGCAAACAGGGCCAAGCCTCAGACAAACTGGTCAGTGTGTTTTGTACACAAAATCACTGGAATTTAATTTCTCATTAATATAACCTTCCCTGGATCTGTCTCTGGGAATTGGTTGAACTCAGATATGAAAGTTTAGGTCTCAGTACTGTACACAGTTTTGGACTATAAAAAGATCACTATCTGGTTTCTCCTAGATTAGATAGTTATACGTAGCAATAAAGTTGCAATTAAGTTCTCCAGTTTGCTTTAGAGATCTGGGGACTAGGTCAGTAATTTATTCCATGTACATTGGAGAATTGTAAGTGCAGTGTTCTTGATGAAACTGCTGTATTAAATAACCACTTGCAGGAGTAATCTATCATTAACTGTATATACAAAAGACAGAAACATGTTGCAGACATATGCTCTCAGTTTCTAGATTCCTTGTATCAGGGAATATAGTCCCTTCACTCCAACCAATTTACTTCAAAAAAAATAAAAGCCTTACATTTCTACTCTTTTGAAAACACATGCTCAGGACTTTGGTCTACAGTTTTTGAAGATATATATATATTTTCCCCTTTTTTGTTAAATTGTGATTTGGGTGAAAGTTTATAGAGCAAATTCACTCTCCATACAGCAGTTAACATACATTTTGTCTCATGATATGATTTACCACAATGCAGCAGCTCTCCTCTCACTTTCTCGCCATAGTTACCTTTTCCCTGTGTCCTTCCCTCCATGCATTCCTGCCCCGTGAGCTATGTCCCTGTGCATACACAGTCCTTCTATTCGCTCATGATGATCTTTCCAAGGGATGTTATCTACCTAGTGTAAATGTTTACCTTGCATGCCTGTCTCTTGTTTGGCTGGAAGCCACAGGTGTGGGTTCAATTCCAGACCTGAAGGGCAGCTAGGGGCCATAGTCTCAGTGGTTCTATCAGACCAGCAAATCAGGTCCCTTTTTTTTAATCCAAATGATTTTGAGTTTTCTTCCACGTTGTTCTCCCACTCTATCCAGCATCTCCTACGTAAATCCCCCATCCCCCTCCAAGTGGTTGACAGTGGTAGCCAGGCACCATCTAGTTCTTCTGGTTTCATAGTCATATAGGCTGAGGATCGCATGGTGTACCAGTTGCTTGGACTAATTGTTTCCATGCATCTTTGGTTTTCTTCATTGTTCTGTGGTCTGGATGAGGAGAGACCCATTGTTGCATCTAGATGGCTGCTTTCAAGCTTTTAAGATCCCAGTCGCTACTCGCCAAAGTAGGATGTGGAACAATATTTTGTGTAGTATGTTATGCCAAATGAACTTGATGCCCCCTGCAACTATGGTCCTGAGCCCACAGGTCCAACTACTTATTCCCTCTGGGTAGCTGGCTGTGGCTAAGAAGTGACTACAACCTTGTCCCTTGTCAACTTTACTATGTACCTGGGAATTCTTACAGAACATAGCAATACACTTGTCTGCCAACCCTGTACATGGTCTTGGGCACACTCCCCCCCCTGCATAGGTGTACCTAATAGTTCAGCCTGTCTACCCATCTAGCCACCCATATATTCATGTTTGCCTTCACTGACAACACGGTACTGAATGTGCAAAAAGCTTCATCTACCTTGTCTGTACCTACCATATACTGAAGGTATATTTTTGAGCACCTGAGATGTTTATGGAATGTATTTTTACTCCCATCGACACTCCTACTTATAAATTAAGAAAAGGGTAGGGGTGGCAGAATGTGGAATTGGTCTTTTGACATAAATCCTAAAAGCAAATTAATGTCTTAATCTGGATTAATTTCTGAATTTGCTGAGGCATTTAGCTTCCTCAATTGGCTCTGTTTAAATCTTCTGCCTTGCCTGAGGGTGTGTTGCATTATCCTCTTTTAAGCAAGTCACTCAACATTATCAGACACTTAAGCACTTCTGCCTGAGGGAGGCTGCTGCAACTCTGCTATGGTAAATGAACAGATCTCTCTTGCTTAAAGCCATAAGGCACATTCACAAAAGATTTTATCTTCTCTAACATGATCTGAATCACTGTGCTATGCTTTACAGAACAAATTAACCCTTAAATTGTGCAGCTTGTCACATAAACCTGGTACATTTGACTGCTAACCAGAAGGCTGGGGGTTCAAACCCACCAGCAACTCCTAGGAAGGAAAATTGAGCAATCTATTTCTGTAATGATATCGCCTCAAAAACCCAAGGATGGGTCGCTATGAGTTGGATCCTACTCGAGGGCAGTGAGTTTGGGTTTTATTTATAAAACCCTATGTGTGTGTGTATGTATGTATATATGTGTATATATATATATATATACAGCTTAGACAATCGAGACACTTCCTTTTCATTCTATGTGTCTGTTGAATATTTTTCTAATTTGATTCAATGTGTTACACTATTCTCTTTCTCTTCTTTAAACCCTTGTTCAATATTATTACAATAACAAGAGTCACTAAAACACATTTTTGGACACAATAAATGAAATAAAGTTACTTTTCTACCTCTGTTATGGAGTTCTAAAAACTACAGATTGTTTGGGCTAAATGTGAAGGGTAAAATGGGAGATGGGACTAGAGAAGGCAATAGCCCCAAGGACTGAATATTTACTGATTTGGTAAAGGAAGAGAGAGTCCCTGGGTGGTACAAATAATTAACACGTTTGGTTGCTAACCAAAGGACTGATGGCTCAAGTCCACCCAGAGGCACTTTGGAGGAAAAGTCTGGCCATCCGCTTTCAAAAAATCAGCCATTGAAAACTCAGTGAAGCACAGTAAGCAGCATCATGATAAATGGAGAAAAGATTGAAGTTGTCAAAGATTTCATTTTGCTTAGATTCACAATAAACACTCATGGAAGCAGCAGTCGAGAAATCAGATATTGTATCGCACTAGGCAAATTTGCTGCAAAAGACTTTTTAAAATTTTGAAGAGCAAAGATGTCACTCTGAAGACAGGTGTGCCTAACCCAAGCCATGATATTTTTTGTTGCCTCATATGCATGGGAAAACTGGACAATGAATAAGGAAGACTGAAGAATTGATCCTTTTGAATTCTGGTCATGAAGAATACTGAAAATACCATGGACTGCCAGAAGAACAAACAAATCTATCATGGAAAAGTGCAGCCGGAAGGCTCCTTAGAAGTGAGAATGGCCAGACTTCATCTCAACTACTTTCGCCATGTTGTCAAAAGGAATCCTGGAACAGGATATCATCTATAGTACAATGGAGAGTCAAAGGAAAAGGGAAGACCTTCAATGAGATGGATTGACACAGTGGCTGTAATGATGGGCTCAAGCACAGCAAGGATTGGGAGGATGGCACAGGACCAGGCAGTGTTTCATTCTGTTGTGCACAGGCTTATTATGAGTTGGAATCGACTGTTGACACCTAATAACAACAACAATGAGCAAAATATTGAATGATGTGGGAAGCATCAAAGGAAGATGGAAGAAATACACAGTCATAGTACCAAAAAGAATTGGTTGACGTTCAACCACCTCAGGAGGTAACATATGATCAAGAACCCATGGTGTTGGAGGAAAAAGTCCAAAGTACATCGAAGGAATTGGCAAAAAAAAAAAATAAAAAAATAAAAAAAGCCTTCAGGAATTGATGGAATATGAATGAAATGTTTCAACAAATTAGTGCAGTGTTGGAAGTGTTCACTTGTTTATGTCAAGAAATTTGGAAAACAGTTACCTAGTCAACCAACTGAAGGAGATTCATATTTATACCCACTCAAAAAAAAAGTATTCCAACACAATGCAGAAAATATTGAACCATATCATTAATATCACATATAAATACAATTTTGCTGAAAATAATTTTAAAAGGGTTGCAGCAGTATATTGATAGGGAACTGCCAGAAACTCAAGCTGGATTCAGAGAGGGCATGAAATAAGAGATATTATTTCTCATGTCAGAGGGAAAGAAAAGAATATCAGAAAGATGTTTATTTGTGTTTTGATGACTATGCAAAGGCATTTGACTGTGTGTATCATAACAAATTTTGGATAACATTGTGAACAATGGGAATTCTAGAATACTTAATTGGATTCAAGAGGAACCTGTACACAGACCAAGATGCAGTTGTTTGAATAGAACAAAGGGATACTTCATGGTTTTAAATAAGGAATGATGTGTGTCAGTGTTTTATCATTTCAACATATTTATTCAATCTGCACGCTAAGCAAATAATCCAAGTACAGGAATATCTGAAGAAGAATGTGGCATCAAAATTGGAGGAAAGCTCAATAACAACCTACGATATGCAGATGACACAACCTTGCTTCCTAAAAATGAAGCAGACTTGAATCCCTTACTCATGAAGATCAAAGACTACAGCTTTCCCACTGAATTATACCTCAACGTAAAGAAAATGGAAAAAATATTGAAGTTGTCAAAAATTTCATTTTACTTTCATCCACAATCAATGCTCACGGAAGCAACAGCCAAGAAATCAAACAATGTATTGCATTGGGCAAATTTACAAAAGATGTCTTTAAGGTGTTAAGAAGTAAAGATGACCCTTTGAAGACTAAGATACCCCTCGCCCAAGCCATGGTGCTTTCAACCTCATATGCATATAAGAGCTGGACAGTGAATAAGGAAGAGAAGAAATGACACATTTGATTGTGGTGTTGCCAAGGAATATTGAATTACCGTGGACTGCTAGAAGAATGAACAAGTCTGTCTTGGAGGAAGTATGACTGGAATGCTTCTTAGAATGTAGAATGGCCAGACTTTGTGTCTTGTGCTTTGTTCACGTTGTCAGGAGGGACCAGTGCCTGGAGAAGGACATCATGCTTAGTAAAGTAGAG